ATGGGAAGATCCCGTGTTGCGGCTCTTGTTCTCTTCTGCGCAACTGCCCAGCGCTTAACACTGCCTACAAATTTGACCATGATTTTGCGTAATTGTTCAATGTGTTTGACTTTCCTTTACTACTTTTGACTGGGGATCTTTCTTCATCAGTTGTGGATCTAAAATGCTTTGGGGTTTTTGTGACATGCCTGAAAAAAGAGCATGTGCAACCATGCAAAAAGCAAACTTTTAGGACAGTGTCTTCATGGCAGAGTAAAGCAGGCCAGGCAATATTGACTCATTAAATTATTCCAGAAAATACTCATCAGCATTGTTTAATCAAAATATGTATCAACAATAAACATTTTAGGCTTTCCTTTAATCATTTGCTGCAATTGAATTAAACTTGAGTGAGAAAAGCACTTTTTAGTTTCTTTCGATTATATTAAAATGGGAAAATGTTTATTACCGCATGACTCATAACTAAGAGTTTCAGGCTTCTATATTGTGCCACCTAAACCATAAAAAAGTTTTTGACATTTATTTTTCATTCACTACTAAGGTTGAATAGGAGAAAAACACGGTTATACTCTTTTTGGCTGCTTTGGTCAAAGAACTCAATTGTCAACTTCCAGAAATATAAGTTGGACACTCAGAATTCATTGATGAGGAAAGTGTCCTGTTCGAAATTGGCTAAATCTGACTTTGTTTGAGCATTAAATTCTTACAGAGAAAAAAAGAAATTATCCAGAAGTGCAATGTCTTGTGCAATGGATAGTTAAGATTTAGTCCGTATTTTGCATCATGATAGCTTATGGATTTTTTTAAAAAAATCAAGATCTAAACTTCTTAATTTATGAGAAACATGCCATCTCTTTATTACTGTGACACGAAAGAAGCATCAAACTTCTCATGCCTCTTGCAGCAGTTAAGTATCCAACCTCCTGACCTGATGACCTGACCTACACTTGCTCACATCTTCCACAGCCGGCAGCAGCTGCGCTAACATAACTTTTTTTTTCCTTTTCCTGAGAGAGCAGCTGCTTTCAAGGGAAGGGATGCAGTATTCACAACAAAGGCCAAGTCTAGCTAATGGAAGCAGCTCAATTTGCAATGTGGAGAAATATGGAGGGATGAAGGTGGTTTACAACAGCTACAGTAATTCTCTGGTATGAAGGATCTTTTCCTTCTCCACCGAGTGCAGAGGGAGAGCACTGCCTGGAGGTGAGCCCTTGTGAATCTCTCTCCCTGGGTCTACATCTTCTCCAGGCTGCTCCTCACCCTCATTCCTCCTGCTTCGCCCTTAACTGGTTCACCAGTTGCATGAGCCTTTAAACCAGTTGCATTTCACCCACTTCGGTAAGTGACAGAGCAGAGAACAGTATGCTTTGTTACAGCCTTCACATTTTTCTAGGTTGGATGTCTAAAGTTTGCATTTTATCTGGGAGTAGTTGAGTTTCCCCTTAGAGAGTCAGAAGTTACACTCCTTTTATGCTGTACCTTAATTAGGCGGAAGGCAATGGAAATCCAGTGTGCCACACTGAAAAATACCTATAAATGCAACTGTGTTTGATGTAGAAATCTTTGGTTTTTCACTTCTGCAAGATTTCAGAAAAATTCTGGAGAAGGATATACTGGTTTTGGTGGGGTAGTGGGGAGATGAGCTGTCTTTAATAGAAGCAGCTGCACAGCAATCTGGAAATTAGCCCAGTTGGGAGGAAAAAGTTTGCCCTCAAAAGAGAAGCAGAACGAAGTTTGTGTCCAGCTGTCAGCGAGACTCCTGCAGTCAAGCAAGGAAAGGAGGCATGGGCAGACGCTGCCCTTCTCCTGCGAGGCAGGGATCCCTGGCTGATGGGCAGACAGCTGCAAAGATTTTATTACGTTTTGTGTGGCAGGTATGTGTCCTAGCGCTGATGACAGAGGTAATTTTTCCTTTCTCTCCTTTGCTTTGTGCTCTTGGGTGGCACCGTTTAAGGCTGGGCCAGCTCTTAAAATGGGCAATGAAATCCTGGAATGAAAAACTTTAGCATCATGTAGTACATTTGCTGGCAGGTCCAGCTGCTCTTCCTCTTGTTGGTAGAGCACACGCTCCTAGGGCCCACATGAGCAGATACACTGTATGCATCCTGCTTAACTACTTTCTCATCATTCCACTGTTGGCAATAGAAAAAACTTGGGGTTTATTCCAGTTGGATTTAAAATGCTACCTTACAGTACAGTAGCTCTTCAAGTTAAAGCTCATTGCTGTCATGAAGAACACTTCGTTGTTCCTTACTACAAAAAGAAAACAGGGTAAGCAAGCTCAGTACTGTGAGTTACCAGCAGAAATCTAACTAGAACCCATCAGACAATTAGCCTCAATGGATCCTGAATGCTCTGACACCTACCTTAAGTGCGGACCCCACTTAAGTTACTCATTTTCACCAGACCCAAATAAAGTTGTTAAATTTTATTTTCTGAGAGCAGAAAGAGTTTCATGACCGTGAGATGCATTATTCTTTAGTGATTGTTTATGAACAGACAAGTTGCTTAGGAATAAGACCTGGCAAATCTCACAGGTTAGAAACTGGCTTCAGAACCCATCTGCAAATGGAAGATACGTTGAAATATTTACGGCGTAAGGCAGGACTGATTCTCCCCAGAGGCCTCCCACACAAAGCAGAGTAGACAAACTACAAATAGTGAAAACGGGTTCACTGACAAATTATTTTAAAATGTGATTTTAAAATGTCCTGCTGGGGCAGGAGAATCATATTTAATCAACATGCATTCTTAGCCTTGCCTCTGTGCATTATATTTTCAGTGAGATCGATTCTGAGTGACTGAGGCATTAAAAGTAGTTCACCAATTTTCAACAAGCAGATATTTTTCTCCCCCTGCCCCTTCCACTTAAATGTTTTGAGACTTCAAATACTGAAAACCTGCACACAGAAATACGATGTTTTCATTCGCTTGCCCTTCACACCACTCATGGGAAAATGATAGCACAGGACTTCAAAGAAAGAGGCTTCCTAATGCCTAGTAGAGAGAAGCTTAAAACTGTGTTTAATGCAGTAAATGTGTATAACTAACTCAGACATTACCACCAAAGTAGACATTTGAAATTGAGTACAAAGAACACACCAGAAATTGCACGCAGACCGATGGGCAACATTAAGAAGGTACAAGGCTTGCAGTGTATCAAAGAACTCTGCAAAACTGACAACTGGCAGCAAACATTCGCACACTGTCAAGTCGAAAGTTTGGCTTTTTTTAAACAAAATAGGCTCATCAGTGATTCTGACTTCATCAATACTATGTTGCTCTTCAGGCAGCATACAGTGAAAAGGTGGTTACAGAAGCTTTGCAAATAAATTCTTTTAAAGTCGTGATGTAACAAGAGCGTATCTGGGTCCAAGACTTTCTGCAGAACACTCATTTGATTGGCATTCTTTCAAACATATGAACAGAAAGAATAAAATAACAGTCACATCAGAAACCGGCTATCAACGTATCTGTAAAATAAACAAATCCAGGATGATCTTTCATGAGCAATGCCGCTAACATATAATTCTTTAGACAAATATATATACATTTGCTTGCAAAGTATTTCTAAGTAAGTCTTTTCAAAAAGTATTGTCAGAGTAGTGCAATATAACTTCACCAGCAATTGCAACCAATGAGAGGTAGCCCGGAGAGGACCACAGGAACAGCTCCCATCGAGGATGCAATCCTGCCGTCCTCCCCTGGGCAAAAATCCCCTTTAAAGTCACCGGGAGCTACGACTAAGAGCTGTGCACAGGTAGTCCCTTAGGAATGAAGTCTCTGCTCACTATGTGGGGAGCTGAGCATGGAAGTCTTACATGCAGCTATCAGAATATATCCCCAAGTACTCGTTAATGCAGTGGCCACTAAGACATTTGAAATGTAAACGTTCCTCGTCTATGTTCCATGTAATTTATAAAATAACTCAGTTTCCATGCAGTAGGGCACAATCGTATCAGAAGAACTGACTACATTATTAGCTAAGGAAATAAACCCGGTATATCAGTTTTACCACAACTGCATTTTTTTCCTCTACACTATATTTCACATCGGTAACAGGTAATGTGTTATATCGTAAAGCGTATTAATATGATCTTGTGATTTGAAAGCAAAAACATTTTCTGCAAGATTTCCATATTAAAATAGTTATGTGCACAAAAGGTGTTCATAGCATGACACCCAAAGCAATATGGAATTAGTTTGATAGTATTTCCATTACAGCAGAACTATGAACTTCATTCACTAAACTATGTAGTACAAATGAAGATTACTGGTACATATAGAAAAATCAGATAGGCAATCAGTTACAAACCCGGCAGTATTTTGAGAGAGACAGAGATCTTTAGGTCTTACAATGGAATGATAAAAACGGCAGGAACTTCTTTTGGGAGCTCCAGAAAGAAATTTGCACTTGGTGTTTCTCATTATCTTATAAGCAGCCCTACTGCACAGGAAAATGTTGCACCAGGAGTTAACATCAGGGTCTGGAGTTCAAAAAAATCTGCTAAAACTTAAGTGCAGTAGGCTCCACTACATTGTATTTCTCTTGAAATGTATAAAACATAGAAAATCGTAATGGTGACTTACTGGATAAAAATATTAATGCTCACAAATAAAATCTGACTGAATTTTTGAGTCAGATTTAAATTTACACCTTCTGCAGATTTAGTCAGTATGATTTGAGTATTTCAGGTATCTTTGACCACCAAGTAGCAGTGCTATTTACCATTTTAGATCGGTTCCTTTAATGTGTTACGCTGTTTCTAACAAGGCTCTCAAACGGCAAAAACCCTACTTGAAACCTTCGACAAATGTCTTTACCGTGCAAAATATATCTTCAACAAGAAATGCCTTTTTACAATATTTACAAAATCTCCCCATTAGATAAAAAGGCAAAATAAATAAAAAGCTTAGTGAAAGGAAACGCTGCTTAGGCTGTAGGCTTCTTCTTTTGTCTTCCCCCAGCAGACACTAGTCTCCTCGATGCATGAAGTTGGTTAGCCAGGATTGTTTTTCTTCCTCTTGCTTGGGCTGTGACTGGGATCTTGTTTCAGTTCATGGTATTGCACCTGTTTAAACACAACGTTCAGAAAGAAACCAGTCAGGTGACGCTTGCTAGAAAAACAAAGATTTCTGTTTTTCAAGCAGGGCAAAAAAAAGAAAGAAAACTATCGCTCTGTCAAACTACATGGGATTTGCAGCTGTGATTCAACAACAACAGAATGAGACATCTAGAGTAAGAAGGAAAAATGTCATTAGGAAAATCCTGCCAGGAAGTAATACTGTGTGCTGACATCAGCTTTAAGGCGGCTACTTTTATTGTTTTGTCCGTGAGCATTAACAAACAGTATCCTCATTAATGAATTGGATGAATATTCTTTGCAATGTTTCTTAAAAACTTCTTTATTTTCAAAGGCCTACCACAGAGGGGATCAGATTCAGAGCAGGTACGTGCACCCATACCGCCTATTTATACCAGCTCTGAACTGAAAACGCTACCTAGAAATAAGGAAAGTATACAATCTTTGTGATACTGGAGGTGATTTATGTGCCTGACATTATCTTAATGCTTGCACCTTCTCAAGAGATTGCGTACTGCATTACAAAAGCCTGCAATTCATAACCAGTTTATTTTTAAAGTTTATGAGCACAGTTGAACTGTGGCCACAGCAAAAACTTTCACCTCATGAAAGGAAATGCTGAAGTGCTCTGAGAGTGCTGTCAGGAGACACTGGACAAAGCCGCCTGCCACTGACTCCATGTTGGTGCAGCTCTTCCATCATTTGACCTTCCTATTCCCCCTCCGCGTGTCCTGACTGCCTCCGCTCCAGCCTTTCCTACACAGCGCCTTATCCCAATCAGATTCACATGGTGCTGGAGCTGCTTAATACAAACTCTAGCACCTGCTACCATCTCCCAAATACTTGTCTTTTTACTGGTTGCTCCTATGGATCCTCAAAGGCACAACCAAGGTAGTAGCTACTTTCTCACTGGAAAAAGGTCTAGCAGCCTTCTTACGATTCACAGACTATCCCTAGCTTGGGTTTACAATTTCTTTGTGCCAAAAAATCAAAATAACTGCTTTAAAATTTGTTTTAAAAAGCCAGAAAGCCATGATGCCACATATCAAATTAACTACCGTAAGGACACTTTAAAAAATATACACACCACTTGCACATCTGAAGGAACTCTGGATAGAAAGTCAAGTAGCTCATTGTTATCAATTGCATATGGACTTCGAAGCTTCTTTGTAAATTTATTAATGCCTGCAGAAGTGAAAGTTCAAATGTTACTATCATCATTTAAAAAAAAAACACAACCCATATATGTTTTTGGCAAAGTTCTAAAAAAGATTTTAGGATCTATTTCAAACTCTGACATTAGCACTGAATTAATCAATGAATGAACTGTAAACTCTGGCTCTAAAAGTTGGAATCTGCTACTGTGCTTCCCTCTGCTTCAAAATGCAAAAGTTCTAGGGACATTTTCAAATTCCTCCAATCCTTTTTTTGAAAGTAACAGAAACTGTGGCTATTATGCGGAGGTTGCAAAAAGGAGAGGAATAAAGTGTACTCTATTTCCGTAGCGGAGAGGATGTGCTTAATTGCAGGACAGAAGTTTCAGGTTAGACATAAGGAAAATCTTCCTAATGCTAAGGATGGTGAAGCATGTGGGAAGCGGTGAAGTCTGCGCCATGTGAAGGTTTTAGGATGAGTGTACACAAACCTCTGTCTGGCAATGACAGATACAGAGGAGCTGATAGCAGTGCAGAGAAGGGATGCAACATCTCCCTTAGACACCATGGTCTTAAAATGCCTAGTGACAATTGGCTGTCAGAAGCACCAAGAAAATTCTCCTCAAACTAAGCAGAAAGCAGGCTTTTGAATTAGACTAATTTTCTTATCGTTACATACCAGGTCAGATTTATACAATTTTCATATGAGAACCTTGTCCATGGGCTCTGGCAACAGGTCTAAAACACGGGCAGGAACAGTACAAACTGCACAGACTCTCATGTGAGTGTGAGAAAGCTGGGACAGCATTAAAAATGTGCCATTCTGTGTAATTTATCCAGGCTGTATCAGAGATAAGATAATACAGTTTATCTTCCACAACGTCTTCGGTGTCCAGGCCTTTCAGAAAGCATTCGCAAGGACATAAACCTTCAGGACAGAGTGCGCAAGCTGCAGTCTCGATAACACCCACAGCCTCCCACTGCATGAATTCTCAGTTCTGCAGTGTGGATAAGAGATGCTGCCATCCCTTTAACTGGTGATTGAACAGTGTGTGTTGAGAAAGACTATCTGAGATTCAAACACCTTTGTTTAAGAAGATCCTTTGCATCAGTAAGTGACTGAGAAATTCAAGGTCTACCCCACTGTTCATTGCACGTGGCCCCTGGACCACCCAGGAGTGAATTCAGGAGTTTATATAGTCTCATGTTGTCACATCTGATAAAGAGAAGTACCAGTCACCCCGTGAAAGTAAATGCATAAATAAATCATGGTCAAGGCTCAAGAAAAGAAGAGCAATTAACAGATGAGATGGGACACTAAAGGAGAAGTAAAATACAACAAAGGGATTAGGTCTTTTCCAAAAGCTTGAAAATTTTCTGATTAGAATAATTTTCTTTATACTCTTTTCCACATAAACAGCTGTAGCTGTTACCAGGACTCTGCACTTTATCGAACGAGATTAGAGTGCAAAGGTGGTTCCTGCTCCACCATGGCCATGCGTTCAAGGACCAGTAGTCTCCATGGGGAGAAACATGGCCAGGAGGGAAAGAACCGAGAATTTCTTGCCAGGGCACGTCCGTATGGATGCACAGAAGAAAGACTGCTATACAAAAGACGAGCCATAACATGGAGGAATTTTCATTTAAAAACCCCTGCCTTCCCAAAGAACGAAATGGGCAGATGCTGCTACAGACCAGCTCAAACTTTTCTATGGACAGAAGTCAGACAACAGAGGTCATTTGCTTCCAAGTGCAGGATGGACGAATGCGATGAAGAAATGTATATACACAGGGGAGGCTAGAAACACACAGTAATGGAGAAAACAGGCATGTGTTTGGAATATTGCATTTTTTAAAAGGACAGCTGCTCAAAGCTACACGCAGCACAACATGGCTCTGAGCGAACACATTTCACCCCAAGGAAGTCTGGACTGCTGGAGCTGCAGCTATGCAGTACCTGTCCGGTTGCATCTCCCGGCACGATGCAAGAGAAATAGGTCCCTAAAGAAGGGATCCCTATACAGTTGCTGAATAAGAAGCCACCTAAACTGCAACGTAGGAGAGAAACGTGGAGCTGAAACCTCTAGCGAACAAAGGCGCTTGAAGCTGTATCTAGATAGACTAGATAACTTGTGGGCAGGGAGGGAAGAGATGGAGGGAAAGAAAGCAAGGTGCATTTACAATAATTTGTGCTTATGCTACCCATTCATGGTTTGGGAGGCATGGACTCCAGTTTGGGAGTCAAGGCTCTGCCTTACACAAAACAGAGACATTTCTGGGGGAGTGTGACACCTCCAGGGTATCGCAGGGGTACATGTCAGGAGCTCGTCAAACAACAGCGCTGACTCTATAATTTTGTGGGTCTTGGAGAGGTATTATAATCTCAGGTTCTTGCATGAAATCAAGGGGATGTGTGAAAGCAAGTGTACAAAATGCCAGACCTGTCCAGAAAATGACAGGAAAAGGACACAGACCAAGTACTTCAAACTTCAGTAACAAGAGGCCTACCACTGTGTCTGTGTGCTGGGAAGAATGAAATTTTGGGAACAAAGAGTCTGGGTTGCACGTAAGTGATATAGGGTATGTGGGAATAAGTGGAATTCCAAGACAGGAAAAGAAAGTAAGCCCAGGCGCTTGCTTCTTTTAGTTCCACAGAAGTACTTTTGTTCAAATCCTCCTTATTGGTTCCTCTCCATTTTGTGTATTCTGCTACAATTAATTGTGAAGACCCTCTAAGAATCTTACTAATACTGACCGACAGGTAAAAAGTATATTCTTTGGAGTTAGTTCAATGATTTTATATTGTCTCTTGAATTCAAAAGTTTTTTACAAAGGCATGACTGTTACTCTGTTCTTCAGAAAGAAAATCTAGCCACAGATTTAACTGAGGCAGTGCTCTTCACAAGTCTGCACTACTGAATGAGGGTACGGCTGGTGGTGGTGCGAGATGTGTAAAAAACGTACAAATGAAAACTTGGAGCATTATTTACAACAGATGTGGTAATGGTAGCTGTTTACAATCAGTATAAAGAATAAATATAAGGACAAGTAGTGAGAGCTTGGATCAATCATGATTCCACCCCCTAGCCCCCCTCAGTTTCTGTTCAATATCAACCAGCCAAATACATATATACCTTTCTGTTCGACTAAAGGTGACCCTTTAAACAAGTTTCTTGTTGCTATGTTTACATACACTTTCACAAGATAAAGTACTGCAGTAAAAAAGGCATATTGTCCTAAATGCACTATATAGATTGAAATGCCTCCGTTTGTGTATAAGTGGTGAAAATAAATCAGAGTAATATCTAGACAAAGCTACATTTTGATATACGATATATGAAGAATCCTCATGGCTACATGTTTATAGTATGATGAAGTCTAGAATGCCAGCCAAGAAAAATGCATTTCGCAGGTGGGCCTAAATCTTTACGCAGTTGTGATTTTTAACTAACCTGTCTATTTCCATCATGGGGCAGCATCATGACCATAAATACAGAAAAGCACTGACAATGTAAGTCATCCCTTAAAAACCAGTTTTTTCTAAATGGCACAGACAGTTAAAAAAGGCTTTACTTACCCCAGAGAAGGACAATGTACCTCAGTGGAATGAAATACAGGATGATGGTGAACACAGAGAGGGCAACAATCGCCAGCCAGCTCAGGAATGGGACAGTCCAGTTGAATGTACTTAAAGAAAAATTAACAGAAGTCAGAACTCTGGTCACCCGACAGAGTCAATAAAAGAAAAAAATAATGGGCAGGACAGGGGGAGAAGTGCCAGTTCCCATCAGTGAGAACAAACGGAAACTTCAAACGAATGCATGGATGCTGGACATCAGGTTGGGCTTGGGCTTGGACCCACTCCCAGCAGAGATGAGAGGAGATGCTTTTCCGCTTTTTGGAAATGTCAGTGCTCACCCCCAATTTCAGCACCAGGCAAATCACACACAGGTCCTTACTCCCCAAATGTACTCATGCAGGCAACCCAGATGCTCTTCTTCTGCCCTACCGGTGTAGAGGTAGGATGTAACAGTTAGAAGAGCACTGCTAAGGGTTTCTGTTTTGTCTCCTGCCTGCTCTACGGTAAGGACAGCGCAAGCAGTTAAAGGCTGAGGAGGGACACTTCCCTCTGTCTGACGTATACGTGCAACCCCTGGCCAGATGCCCTACTGTCCTGGGGGGGGTACGTCGAGGAAAAGGCAAGTGTGTGGGTATGCAAAGCTGGAAACTCATCCAAGAAGAGGAGAGTTAGGGAAAAGGAGGGGGCAGAACAGTCAGTCCTGAAGACAGGGATAATGCAACAGCAGTGGCCAAAGGAAGGAAACAAAAACACTCTGGGTGGGGGGAAAAGAAAAAAAGGAGAAAAAGGACTGAAGGAGGAAAAAAGGAGGGAGTGGCATACAATAAAGTACATTGCAGGAAAAGCAAAGGAAAACTTCATCTTCCGGATAAAATAAAGATTATTTCTTTATGGATAAAGGAGGAGAACTTCTGGGATCCCATCAGAGTTCCAGGACATTGCCTTTCCAAAAAAGCCCCAGATTAAAAAGTCCCCCTTAAGGGTCCCAAACTGTATGCTGTGATAAAAAACTGCTGGTCTCCTCATTTTGCAGAGGCTGAAGTGTGGGCACAGAGGAAGTGAAAGCTAAGGAGTCTTAAAACAGCCATGCTGTGGCTGTCCAACCTCTGTGTGCGGGGAAGAGAGAAAGGCCAGATGGCCAACTGATACATATATGTCCCACGGGAATGCCGGTTAAAGGGAGCTTGGCTCAAGGGGGTTGTTCCATGAAGGCACCACCATGTCAAAAGTGTGGCACGACATTTATCCAGAAGGAAAATGTGGCTTTGGCTCTAAATAGCCTGATGAGACTCTGTAAAGTATTACCACGAGCTACATCCTCAATCAGTGTGATTACATTATTTTGGCTTCTCTGGCTGAATAATTGCAATTATCTGAATTGCTAGCCATATTTTTCATAATGAGCTCTGGCTTCCTGTGTTTATTTGTCTTCTTTTCTCCCTGGCAATTTTGACATGTCTCCAGAGTGAACATTATGTTAGTGTCACTTGGTGCAGGATCACTCCTTTTCTCCTCAGGGGACACCTGCTCTTTTCCCCTCTTCTGCATGCATTTGGGATGAACAGAAGGTTGAGGGTCTGCTCATGTTCCTGTGACTCGGCTTTGTGCAATGGATCACAGACACGCCATGTGTGGGAACACTGGCTCCTCACTTAGCAAACCTCCTTATGTGCTGTGTTAGCACAGCATTCAGTACAGGTTTCCCATTATAGTTTTAGGAACAAATTACAAAGATTTATAGGAAGATTCGGTCTCACTCAGTTTAGAAAATTCTGTTGCTCTCATCTGGTATATAATAGAACAAACCCTACTTCCAAAATGCACAATTAGAAAAACTTAATCATCAAGACAACTTCCACGAACAGCCTTTTGATAAAAGACTTTTTTCAGAGACAGGCTCATTTTGCTTGTCTGGAAAACTCGTGCAACATAATGCGCTTGCACCTGCCTCTGCTGCTGTGAACATGGCCTGCCTGGAAGTGTCCCCATGGGAATGTTTCTCAGGCTTTCCTATTAGGGACTTTGCTCTTAAATGCATAAATGGCAATCTCCTCTTCATCCTGATTCTGATATGGTTGCCATTGCTGATAGATTTAAAAAAAAAAAGAAAAAAAGAGGTAGAACAGTGTGAGAGATGATCCTCATGTTTCCTCCACCCAATGCATCAGTTTCCTAAAATTCACTTCCAGAAGTCAGTATTTATTTTGGGGTCATACCCCCTGCACAGGCTACGGTCTCATAGGTGTGGAACAGCAATGCACTGTGGATGGTGGCAGCAGCAGTGGATGAGACAGGTGCCTTATGCTCCGAGATCACACCCAGAAGAAGGGAACACATGGCTTTAACTCTCCTGTAAGATGCTCTGTGTGTGTCAATGGAAGCTTTACAGCAAAGCCTCTTGTGAAGGGTTTCTAACTAGATGTGGGTCCTGGGTCATCTCTCTGCCCGCAGCAGAACGGCAGTTGCGAAGGCGCTGCTCCCAACTTCTCAACCGCCGAGGATGAGATGCTCTCAGCTTCCGAGCGGCAGAAAGCCAAGTCAATCCTGTCCCTGCTTTGCAGCTGACGGCTGGAAGACGTCTTTCTGGAACCTATCTGATCTGAAATAACAAACCTTACGCTGCTGTTCACTGACCATGCCAAAAATATACCAAGCTTCCTGCAGTAAATCTCAGAACCTCTCTTGCCTAAGGCCTAAATTTATTGGCAATTCCTATATATCATGTACTAGTTGTTACAAATTACAAATACTACAGAAGGAAAGGTTTTGCTAACTCACATAAATACAACACTTCCAGCAACTGATCATACGTGCATCCTTAAAATTTGAAACCTCTATCAAGCTCCACTCATTTCCTTTATCAAAGCTGCATTTTATTATTAATTTCAAATAACTACTGTATAGGCCTCACAAGATTCTCCTGTTTTACTTCAAAGCCTTAGTTCTGATTTTTTTTCCCCAATTAATGCATTTCTAAATTCCAAAATTAATATGACAGTATTTTCATTAACTGCGGGGCCTTCACAAAGCCAAGTAAATATAGATGAGCTTCAATGATGGATCATCCAAAACTGGAGTACCCCTCAAAAAAGAAAAGTTACACTTTGTACCTCAGCTCGCAAAAAATATGAACAGTATTGGAGAGCAATCCAGCACCTGTGTCAGCACTTACTTCTTGATCCTTTCTCCGAAGGAAGCCACTTCATCAAGGATATTCTGGACACTGACACAGACCTCCTGGATGGCATAAAGTCTAGTCATAAATCCTTTTTTTTCACTGTCCTAAAGAAAAGAACAGGAGTAGTTGAATAAAAGAATTTTTGACTGTAGGAAAAGGACTGTGTAGCCATCACTTAAGTTTCAAAAGTGCACGTTACAGATTCATCTAAAAGTAATTGGTAAAGCCTGGCAATCAAAAATTGTTTTCTTGTCCTTTAAGCAGTAGATATTGACAATAAGTACGTTTTATTATATATGCTGAGCATCACACAATTTTGTTTGTCATTTCATTAGTTTCTAAATATATGCTTCAATAAGCCAGGTCGCTGGTTCATAAAGATGTTGAAGGTGCCGACCTCACACATTGTGCGCTCTTTCAAGCGCTAAGTGTCCAAAGGTGGAATAAGGGTGGTTTGTTGAAATGCTGGTTCTTGTGCTGATGTAGGCATCAGGAAGATAAAGATTCCTTGTGGGAGACACTGAGCGAGAAACCAGAAACACCTCAGCTCCTACGGGGACGATCCCCTCTGTCTTCAGTATGTGTTGAAGTTGTGAGATGTACCCATGCCCCCATCATCATCTATTCTACCTTTCTGTTTGGCCAGGGAGCATGTGCACTCTCTCTCTCTCTCTCATGTTTTCTGACTAATATCCAAGTGCTGCTACGCATGAAATATACAGTACATGTAACTCCAACTGCCTTTACGATATGATTAGTGCAGTCCACTGCTCCAAAAGCATATAAAATGCCACCCACAGACAAAGTGAAAGTTGCAGGGGAGGTGTCACACTATTGGACTATTGGACTTCTATTCACAAAGCCATCAATTTATGGTAACGTGAAAGACTGACCATAATTTCATTTTCGTTAAATTTATCAAGATTCCCTAAAAATGTGGGAGTTTTTTCAAAAACAGAATGACATTTGTCCTTCAAAAGCAGGAAGCACCCTCATTAAGACGTTTTCTGGGGTCCTTGATAGATTTGCCATCAGCAAATGTTGTCCTTCTTCCTGACAACTTGAGCAGACTTTGCCTCCTAGAAGAACCCAACGAGGTGCTTCCCAGGTACACCAATGCACTCCACAGACCATTCCTCAACTGGGTCTCCTCTCACTCTGACAGTCTGTTCTTTTTTCCACCAAAACCTTTCTATCTCTAAACCCAGACAGACTGCAGCATCAAATCCACACAGAGCCAAGAGCACTCAAAAAAATGCTGTGGTAGATGGGATTAAAATGGAGCACCACCATGGAAAAAAATTACAATTTCTCTTCCTTTTCCCCAGACTACACGTAAGTCAAAAGTTTATGTTCAGCACTTCTACGGATTGATGCCATATTACCCTATCTAATCTGAATGTGATTAGTGTTTTCTCAAAATAAGAAGTGGAAAGAAAAATATTTCAAGACTGGCAAAATAGTTGATAAAAAAGTTGTTCAACTTTTTGCCCTCACAAACCACACAATACAACAGTCTCTGCAATTGACTCCAAAGTCCGGCACCTAAGAAATCAGCAGACGTTGCATTTCGTTTTAGTTTACTTCTCCTGATACTTAATTAGCAGACCGTATATTGGTTCACTTATTTTGCTGTCATTTTTTCTGTCTTAATAAACCAGATTGGGTGAGGAAAACATCATTTAACATTTAATCATCTGAAGTTACTTCAGTGACACGGGTTCTGCAACTATGTTGTCAAGATTTCTTGTGAAGACGTTGCAACTATTTAGCTACAGAACACATATTGTCTAAAAATAAGTAACTGTGAGACAGACAGACAGATAGAGATGGCAAAACTATTTCCAGTGACTGAGTGTAATGTAAAAACCCAAACAGTTTAGAGACAGTAAAACCACTGGTTTCTCAGGCAATGTGAAAGAGCTTATGCTCTCAGTTAAGATTAATAATTATTCATATCACAAAGAAATATTTTTGGTTTTTGAGGATGACCATAACCACAGCCACTAATATCAACTACATCCAGTGGCATACAGCAGCACCGAGTCATTTGTGAAATTAGTTCCTGTAATATATATTACATTCTTGAAGCCTTGGCGATGACAGCACTATTGTCCTCAGGTGTATGGCTTCTGAGGAGGTGCAGGATATATCCAGCGTGTTTCATTTGTCATCAAGAAAGAGATACCTGCTCTATTCCTTCATGTAAAACACATACTTCGTGTACTGGAGAAATAAGAAAATCATCTGTTTTCTCATACAGCAGAAGCAAACAATAAGCCATACAGAAATCACAGGTATTTTTCTGCTTTTCAAACACATATACCATTTGCCTCTTCAGTTTTATTTAACAGACTCCGCCCTCTCTGTAGTTATCTTGATTTATAATTAACTTGTGTGACAAAAGAATTGCGTCCCTGTAACAAAACCAGTACCCTGTGTGACACCTCCAGAACTCAACTGGGATCACGTTCAGAGGTCCTGAGGCTGTTTTTCTTGACAAATATTTTACAAGACAAACTCGTATATCTTTTGGAAAATACATCTGTTTTAAATCATTCCCCTAAAAAACCCCACCAAAACCCCGAAGACAGAAAGAGACAGGGAAAGAATCACTATTTCCACCCCCCTGCATCTTCTGAGCTTAAAGAAAATTTGTTGACATACTCTGAGGCAGGAATAGACAAAACAGCACAGGAAAGAGGAGGTGGTCAGAAGGATCAGGATTCGGCTTTCCTTAAACTAACTCCACATGCCCCACAACTATTAGCTGTTTTTTATTTCCTGCTCCAAAGATTTGTGGAGAAAATAATCTGGGCTAAGGAAAAGCTGCACTTATTTTCTTCCAGCTAGATGCCGTGCGTTACCAAATACAACATATGAGCCACCTTGAGCAAACCAAGGTTCTTAAGAATCCATTTTTCAAACACTACTGGTATTTCCTTTCCAAAGAGAGACAGGCTGTGACCGGAATCAATTTCATCATTTGTATGGCTACAATTGCCAAGTTTCTGGAACTAATTGCCATTTAAACAGTAGATAAAATTTATTATACAAACCTAACAACAGCTTTATTACTATTTAATTTCCATGATTTGTTTGTCTGCAGTAGGCTTAAGGTATCTGAAAAGCAAGATGTTTGCTAGGGGATGGCTTTAAGCATGAACTGTGAAGGCAAAGTCAAATTGATGTTGATAGTCTGACTTGAATCTACAACAGGGAATGAACCCAAAGTAAAGATTGAGACCACGTCCTCCTTCACGGGACATTGTAGATTACAAACTGATATATTGCTTGGCCAATAATACTACTTAACTCTTGTATGCTGATTTTCAGCCATAACTGTATTTTCCATTTGGTGAAACCAAAGCAAAACAAAATAAATGACTTGCTCTAGCCTGTTTGGAGCTAATTCACATAAAAGCCTGAGTACAACCCATGTTGTGCGAGTCTCTTTATTTAGTGAACTATGCTTCCAATCCTGTGACCTAATAGGGTGATTTAAGAAAGGATTGTATCTCCAACCCCAAACCTCTCTCTTCTCCAAGTTTGACTGCATTTACAAAACAAACATTTCAAAAGACAGGGAAAGCAGGAGAAATAAGTAAGCCAGACTCAAAAGGAAACTTTTATAAAGTTAAGGGAATTAAACCAGCAAAAAAAGAGCTTTAAGTGAAAGGAGACATTTTTAGTACAGAGAATAAAACTCTGAACATTTTATGGTGGATAACTGTCCTATTAATAATTCCTAAGTTGGAGAGAAAGGCACAGATCATAAAAACAAAGTAATAGGAGAGTCTCAAGAACAGAAGTAAATTTTGGAATTTTTAGGAGATGCTGCCTGGTAAAGACAGAGGCTCCAGGTGGATTTTCCAAAAACACCCATCGTTGCCCAAGCTGGTACGATACAGCACCTCTGTACAAACCAAAGCAACTGAAATAAAGCCAGACTAACTTGTGATAGGTACAGAGCGACGATATGAAGCCCCCACCAAGAGCAGGAGTGTTCACCTGGTATGCTGTAAGTGCTATGGTCCTGTCACTTGGCCACCAGGAGACACATGCGCTCCTCTTCATTTGTGTCACACTGGACTACCTGTAGCCACAAAAGCGTAGCCCCACAGCTATCAATGAGGAACACCTCTAATCAGCCCTTGACCTTTAGTCACAAAACCTGTAAATCTCTATTACTTGAATAGAAGAATACTACTTCCAGGAGGAAACACTGCAGATTATTTCAACTAATAATTGGTCTCCAAAGCAGAGCCCATCCATAGGCACCCACATCATCCCCCGGCATGAGTCTCAGCCACATGCAGGGCTGTAACACCCAGGTAGACCTTCCTTTGGAGATTGACGAAGTATCGGTAGGAAATGCATTAGCCTCTTACTGGTAGGATTCATTAGTACCTCCCAGGCAGGACATGCAGACACCAACTGTTGAGCACTGTCCTATGATCTGTCCACTGCTCAAAAACCTGTCACTGGAGATTAATGGTCTCAGCAATTACCTCCCAGACTCCAACTTGTGCTTTCTGGGAAGGTCACTAAGAAGAAGATAGTAAGACAACACTATTCTAGCTCTGGAGGCATTTGATCTCCTCCAAGTCTTCCGAACCCCACATCACATCCATTCAGATGCAGTGATGGATACACGAGTAAGTCATTATTTCATCATTTTCTTAGGGTAATGGAAAGAGGTCAGAGAATCACGGTATTTTTATCCTAAAGCTGACTGTGGGAATGTGATCACGAGGCAAAGCTGAATGGTCTACAGGACCTGGAAAGGTGCATGGGGTGACCTGAAACCGACCTCTTCCATTACGTCTATAACGAACTGAGAGGGTCAAGTTGTTATAACCACTCTTCACTCTTGAAGGCTGCCGCTTTTGGAGTACCATAACCATCTGGTCTTGCCACTTCTTAAGTCGAAAAGGTACGGGAAGACTCTTGCAGACATTAAAACCTTTCAGTGGGACCTTAATGATTTAGAAGTTTCCACTCTTCCAGTAAGCTAGTTCTCAACTTTTCAGACTTTCAGTTATTTTGAACAGTGACTGAAGGCATGCCAGGCAGACAGGCACCAGTGTATGTTCTCTTCTTA